AAAATAGATGCAAAAATACTCAACAAAATATTAGCAAACCGAATTCAAAAATACGTCAAGAAGATCATGCACCATGATCAAGTGGGATTCATCCAAGGGATGTAAGGATGGTACAACATTCGAAAATCCATCAACATCATCCCCCACATCAACAAAAAGGACAAAAACCACATGATCATCTCCATAGATGCTGAAAAAGCTTTCGGCAAAATTCAACACCCATCATGATAAAAACTCTCAACAAAATGGGTATAGAGGACAAGTACCTCAACATAATAAAGGCCATATCTGACAAAAGCACAGCCAACATTATACTTAACAGCGAGAAGCTGAAAGGTATTCATCTAAGATGGAGAACAAGACAAGGATACCCACTCTCCCCACTTATATTCAAGATAGTACTGGAGGTCTTAGCCACGGCAATCAGACAACACAAAGAAATAAAAGGCATCAAGATTGGTAAGGAAGAAGCCAAACTGTCACTGTTTGCAGATGATATGATATTGTATATATAAAACCCTAAAGAATCCACTCCATAACTACTAGAACTAAAATCTGAATTCAGCAGAGTTGCAGAAATGCAAAAGTTGTCTTCACATGCAAAGACAGCAGTTCAAGACTACAAAGAACATGAAAAATCAAGGAAACATGACCGCTAAAGGAACATAATAGTGTTCCAGAAAGTGACCCCCAAAGACATGGAAATCTGTGATTTGCATGTTAAACCATCCAAAATAGTTGTTTTAAAGAAGCTCAGTGAGCTACAAGAAAACAAAAGGGACATGAAATTCAACAAAATCAGGGAGACAATAAATTTAACAGAGTAGAAATCACACACATGCACAAAAAACAAATTATAGAACTAAAGAATACAATGAATGAAATGAAAAATGGAATAGAAAGAATCTGTGATGTCAAAGACAGGTCATTGGAAATTGTCTAGTCAGAGTAGAACAAAGGAAAAAATATGAAAAGGAGTGAAGAATTATTTGAATTATAGGATAAAATTAAGAGAAATAATCTATAAAATATTGGAGTCCCAGAAGAAGAGAGGGAGAGTGGGGCAGAAAGCTTATTTAAAAACTAAATAGCTGAGAACTTCCCAATTCTGGGTAGATGTTTGCATATTCGACTTAATTAGGCTCATTTGTCTCTGAACAATTTGAACACATATGATCTTCTCCAAGACACATTACAGTAAAACTGTCCAAAATCAAAGACAGAGGGAAGGTTAAAAGCAGCAAGAGGAATAAAAAATATCCTTACATACAAGGGAATTCCCATAAGGCTATAAGCAGATACCTAACAGACCAGGAGAGACTGGAATGATATAGTCAAATTGCTCAAAGAAAACTGCCAACTAGGAAAGTTTTTCTTCAGAAATGAAGGGAAGAAAGACTTTCCCTGACCAAAAAAATCAGAGAGAGTTCATCACCACTATATTTATTTTACAAGAAGTGCTAACAGGAGTTTTTCAAGCTGAAATAAAATGATACTAATTAATAATATAGGCATATGAAAATATAAATGCACAGGTAAACTCAGTACATAGTCTAATTCAGAGTACTCTAATATGGGGCTTGTTAGTCACATCTATAAAGTACAAAAGGATTAAAATATAGGTAACAATAATTTGTTAATGAATAATAAAATGTGTAAATTGTGATACCAAAAGCATACAATGTGGTAAGGGGAGTAAAAAGGTAGAATTTTTGTAAAAAATTACAAAGTTTATTTGTTATCAGCATAAAAAAGACTGTTGTAACTATAATATTTTTGAAGGCCTTATTGTAACCTAAAGCAAGCACCCACAGTAGATACACAAAAGAAAATGAGGTATGAAACAAAGCCTAGCACTATGAAAATTCATCAATTCATAAAGGAAGATAGCAAGATAAAAAGAAAAGGACAGAGGAAATATAAAACAGCCAGAAAACAATTCTGGCAATAGTAAGTCCTTACCTATCAGTAATTACTTTAATATAAATAGATTAAATTATCCTATCAACATGGATAGAATGCCTCAATGGATAAAAAAAGTCAAGACACAACTATACACTGCTTGCAAAAGACTCAGATCACCTTTAAGAATACACATGATCTCAAAGTGAAAGGATGGTAAAAGATATGCCACGCAAGTGGAAACAAGAGAGAACAAAGATGGCTATACTTATATCAGAGAAATAGACTAAAAGTCAAGAACTGTCACAAGAAACAAAGATCACTGTATAAGTCATTCATCAACAGGATATAACAATTATATATATACATATATAACTATATATATCTGACATTGGAGCAGCTAAATATATTAAGCAAATACTAACATCTGAAGGAAGAAATAGACAACCATGTAATAATAGGGGATTTTAATAGCCCACTTTCAACAATTGATAGCTCAACTAGGAAAACAAAGACCAAGAAAATATTGCACTGGAAATTTATTTGAACCAAATGGACCTAAAAGACACACAATGAACATTCCACTCAGCAGCAGCAAAATCCACATTTTTCTCAAGTACACAAAGAAAATTCTCCAGTATAGCATGTGTCAGGTCACAAACAATTCTTAGGAAATTTAAGAAGACTGAAATTTTATCAAGTATCTTTTCCAACCACAATGGTATGAAACCAGAAATCAACAACAGAAGGAAAAATAGAATATTCACAAATATGTGGAAATTAAACAACTCCTGAACAACTAATGGGTCAATGAAGAGATCAAAAGGTAAATTAAAAAGTATTTTGATATAAATAAAAATGGAATAGAGTACATCAAAATCTATGAGATGTAGCAAAAGCAGTTTTAGGAGAGAAGTTTGTAGTCATAAATGTCTACATTAAGAAAAAAAATTCAAATAAACAACCTAACTTTACTTCAAGGAACAAGAGAAAGAAGAAATTAAGTGCAAAATTAGCAGAAAAAAGAAATATCAGAGCAGAAATAAACAGAGACCAGAAAGAGCAATAGAAAAGATTAGTGAAATTAAGAGCTGTTTTTTTGAAAAGATAAACAAATCCTTAGCTAGTCTAATTAAAAAACAAAGATTCAAATAAAATCAGAAATTAAAGAGGAAATAATACAAATGACACCAAGGAAGTAGAAAAAATCATAAGAAAAAACTGAAAAATTACACACAACAAATTGGATAACCTAGAAAAAATTGATAAATTCTAATAAACATACAATGAACCAAATCTGAATCATGGAAAAATAGAAAATCTGAACATACTGAGTAAGAACAATGAATCAATAATCAAAATCCTCCTAATGAAGAAAAGTCTAGAAATAGATGGTTTCACTGGTGAATTTTATAAAATATTTTTAAAATAATCAATACCAGTCCTTCTCAAAGTTCCAACAATTGAAGAGAAGGGAACACTCCCAAACTCAATTTATGAAGCCAGCATTACACTGATACCAAATCCAGAAAAGGACATTACAAGAAAAGAAAACTATCAGCCAATATCCCTGATTAATGTAGATGCAAAAATTCTCAACAAAATACTTGTAAACTAAATTCAATAGCACATTAGAAGGGTCATACACTATAATCAAGTGGGATTCATCTTTGGGATGCAAGGATGGTTCTATATATGGAAATGAATAAATGTGATAGACCACATTAACAGAATGTAAGATTTAAAATTACATGATCATCTCAATAGATGCAAAAAAAGCATTTAACAAAATTGAGCACCCTTTCATGGTAAAAACTCTCAACAAAAAAAGATATAGAAGCAATGTACCTCAACATATCAAAGGCCATAGATGACAAGGCCACGGCTAACATGATACTCAATAGTGAAAGGTTGAAAGCTATTTTTCTAAGATCAGGAACACTACAATGGTGCCTGCTCTCACCACTTCCACTTAACATAGTACTGGAAGCCCTAGCCAGATCAATTAGGCAAGAAAAAGAAGTAAAAGGTATCTGAATGAGAAAGGAAGACATAAAATTGTTTGCCTATGACAAGATTTTATATATAGAAAATTCTGAAGATTCCATGAAAATCTGTCATATATAATTAATGAATTCAGTAAAGTTGCAACATGCAAAATCAATATACAAAACTCAGTAGCATCTATACAACAATAAATTATCAGAAAAAAATTAATAAAACAATCCATTTATAATAGTATTAAAAACAATAACATCCTTGGGAATAAATCTAAGGTGGTGAAAGATGTACACCCTGGAAACTCTAAAGATATTTATGAAAGGAATTGAAGATGACACAAAAATAGATGCTATCCTGTGTCCCTGCATTGGAAGAAATAATGTTAAAATGTCCATACTACCCTAAGCCATCTATAGATTCAGTGCTATGCATATCAAGATTCCAATGACATTTCTTACAGAAATAGGAATAAACAATCCTGAAATTTGTATGGAACCATAATAGACCCTGAATAGCCAAAGCAATCCTGAGGAAGAACAAAGCTGGAAGCATCACACATCCTGACTTCAAAATATCACAATGCTACTAATCAAAACAGTATGGTACTAGGAAAAATACAGATACATAGACCAATGGAAGAGACCCGAGAGCTGAGAAATAAACACGTGTATATGGTCAAGGAATGTTTGACAAGGGGCCCAAGAATACCTAATAGAAAAGGGCAGTCTTTTCAATATATGGTTCTGGGAAAATTGGAAAATTTATATGCAAAAGTGGGTTCTAGCCCTTGCTTTGTGACCTTGGGTATGACATTTACTCCAGGTCTCAGTGTCCTTATTTGTAAAATGGTTAATGGCAACACGAAAGTTTTTCAGTAATACCTGAGTAGATGGGAAAGCGTGTGTTGCAGCAATCAGCACACCATTCCAAAATCTATTAAGGAATGGAATTCTTCATTTTGATCATTTTCAATTCCAGTTCACACTCTCTAAAATAGTCTGCTTTGAATTGTCTGCCCAAAGTGGTCACTGGGTAATATGAGAAGTCCCTTGCTAATTAACTTATACCCTTTCTCTTTTATCTCCCATCTATTATAGGTGTCAACTCTGCCCGCTCGGTTCCTCCTTCCTACCCGCCACCACAGGACCCGTTAAACCAAGGCCAGTACCTGGTCCCTGATGGCATCGCTCAGTCGCAGGTCTTTGAGTTCACTGAACCCAAGCGCAGCCAGTCACCATTCTGGCAAAACTTCAGCAGGTTAACCCCCTTCAAAAAATAATACCTACAGGGAGGCAGATAATTTTAAAATAAAGTAAATAATATTATATTTATAGATGGACATTTTTTCGGAGAAGCACTGTTGAAATTTATATATGTATGCATATGTATATACATATACATATGCATATATATGTATGTATGTGTGTGTGTGTATACATACATACACAAACACACACCCTTACCCTTGATTGTACACACACAGACACACACACACACCCTTACCCTTGAGTACATACACACACACCACAGAGAAGGACCAAAAATGTTTTATGTTGTTTTGGGGAAATGAAATCTATAATTGATAAGAACAGATATCAGTAATTTCCAGACGTGTTGATCCCTTCTTAAAATTTTTCTGTTCTAACCGTGTCCCCCTCCCCTTTATTTTCAGAAACTGACATTTCTATTTGTTCCTTTTCTCATTGTGATCTCTTTGCTCCCCTGTGAGTGACTAATTGACTTATCATTATTACCATAGATGTGTTTGTGGGGTTTTTTTTCTTTTCTGATGATACTGATACTGATGACTTTTGGATTTAATTTGATGTGGTTGAAGTTTGGGAGTTTGGAATTTCTTTTTCCCTTTGTTCACTGCATAAAGGGCAGATCCCCTTTCTCTTCTTCCTAAGCTGACCATCTACAAATGTTCTACAGCCCTGCAGTTGCCCCAGACAGCCTTTTCTCTGCATCTTCTGTCCCCACTCATGCCAGTCTGGACATGCTCTGTTGTGCCCTATGACATAACTGCTCAATATTTCTATTGCTTTTTGTAGAGGGGTCAAAACTAAACAGAAGCAAGGGAGTGTCAGAGTATAATGATGCTAGAGAGGACTTCTGTTCAGGGAACATTCTGCATTTGGGCTGTTTCTTCTCCTAGGACTGGGAGGTCCCATGCTGTAGCACTGTGGGTCATGACAGTTTTGTATCTGGGGTTGTTTGGGCAAATTATCTCTTCTTCAAGCTGCCTTGGTTATGGTGTTCCTTCTAGGCCTGTCCCTCCCCTAACCTAAAAGATCTGAACCGGGAGCAAAAAGGCTGAGACTCTACCTTCTGGGGGAGTGACTCAACTGCCTCTACCACCAATTAGAATAAAGGTGGGGCTCCTCACTGCAATCAGTTTGGGGGCCTGTTTATCCCTGCTTCCATTTGCAGATTGTTTAGGCAGCATTATTGATAGGAATCTATGGAGGGGTCAAGACAGAGCCCACCTGATCGTCATCAGCTGCCTTCAAGTTATTGACCTGGACGGGATCCAAGGCTGACAATAACCTATTATAGGAAAGAACAGGGATGGGCATGGCAAGAGACAGCCTTAGCCCAATATACGTACCTGCAGTTCCCACCACTCAAGTTATGTGAAACTTCCCCTGTTAGCAGATTGCATGGACAATCTTCCATGGCTCCTTCCTTCCCTTTTCCCTGTCTTCCTTCTTTCTTCTCCCCTGGCACAGGAAGACTGCTGGGATTGGCATAGTTAAAGCATTTCTAGCACTCAAAGAATGTCATTTCTAACATTCTCCCATCTCAGGACATTTGTAACAAGTAAGCAAGGAAGTCAAGGGGGACCTTCCCTGTGGAGAAAGTATCTGAGATAGAGATCCAACCCTCAGGTTCATTTTTTGCAGGCTTTACACTGGGGAAAAAGTAACTTCTCACAGAAAAATGCAGGCTCTCTGTGGGTATAGGAGTACCTACCTGTTCTTCCTTCCCACATGGCCCCTTGGTGAATAGACCTTGAACAGCAAGGTGAAAGGAATACAAAGGAGTGAGGATAGGCCCTGATATAGAGAGCGACTTTAGCAAAGAATCTAGAGATTTTGAGTCTGTCCTGGACTCCATGGGAGAAAACTTCATCATAAAAGGACCTCAGCTTTCTAAGCAGCAACCATGGCTACATGGGGTCCTCAGCATAGTTGGCTTGATTGCTGCTCTGTGCCTCCTGACCCAGACCAGGTCCTGCCCAGCTTGGGAATTTTCCCTCTGTGGAAATCCAATTACAAGCTATTAAAATTTCTATCCCATCACACCCCAATCAGACTTGTGGAGTAGGCCAAAGGTAAGTCTGAGCTGTGCAGAGGGCTAGGACTCAGAACTGGCCACCACTACTCAGCAAATGACCCACCTACTTATGCCCTCTTGGGAAAGAACCTGGTACCCAGTGCCTGAGCTAAAATAGCCTCCCTGTCAAACAATGTATTTCAATGGCTGTGTAGGTGTTCCTTGAGTATACATCCTTTTCCTAATTTTCATTCCTTCCCACTAGGCTTGACCTTGACATGTTTCTCCAGGGACTGGCAGCACACCAAGAGAGGGTGCTTGGAGAAGTCCCTGGACCTATTAATATCTCTTAGCCAAGCTCACTTCTCTCCCCTCAACCCCACTCCACTGGGCCTGTCCCCAGACCTTCAAGATCAGGGATATCACCTCCTGCCACCAACCTCTCATCTATATGCCAATGACTTGTGAAAAAAAGAAATCAGTTCACCATTGGTTACAGTGTTCCCCCAGCCTATGGCAGCAACCTCAAGGGGAGCTCCATTACCTGGACTTGCGGTCCAAGCCTATTCTTGTGTTCCCATAGCAGTGCTATCCCAAAGAATTATTTAAATTGCCTCTATTTCTGCATGGCTCTGAGCTCCCCTTTTGTCAACTCAGTGAGGCCTGGATTTGCTCATCAAAGGCTTTGCTAGTGTATTCTATGGGCCCTGCTGTGGGATGGTCCTAAAATAGAAAACCAGCCCCTCTGTCTCTTTCCTTCTCTCCCTTTCTCTCTATGTGTATATCTCTAAGGAAAGAAACAAAGGAGTTATAACAATTGTAGTGTGAAGCCAAATAGTGATCTTTTAGTGCTTTGAGGATGGGGTAGGCTGGGGTGGATGGATGGGCAACAGTGATTTTGATTACCCCTTCTGCTCTGCATATGCCAGTTTATTATTTCATTTCTTTTGTTTGACCCTGTCAAACAATTGTCAAAGTTGTGTGTTTAAAAAAAATGTTTAACAACAAAAATATGATGTTGTAATGACACAAAGCCTTATTAAAATATTTATGGAGTTCAATAAAAGAAGTAAAAAGACACCTCCAGGCATAGCTCTCGTGCCATTTTTCTGTGTGTGTGTATGTGTGTGTGTGTGTGTGTGTGTGTGTTACCAATAAAGGGAATTTGCCTGGTGGGGCGCAGCTGACCCCAACCTAGTCTTTGCTCATAGCCTTGCTTTTCTATTGCTAGGCATCCCATGTGCTGTCTGTGAACTTCCATGTCCTTTCTGGGAGAGCAGGCCAAGACTTGAACCAAAAACCAAACTCAATCCTGTAACCAGCAGCACTTCCAAGTACATTTATGGATGGGATTTTCCCTCATGTCACCTCTCTCTTTGACAAGACTTGAAGTCTCATTCATTACCTTGCACCTTTTCCTTGCACCTGCAAGTCTAATACCTGCCCTGGGCACTCAAAGGATCTTAAAAGTTGCTTTTTGGATCCAGCCAGAGGTCATACCACTTAGGAATTCCCCAACCCAATTCTTTTTGAATGGTTCCAATTTTATCTCCTCAGAGATAGACACATTCCTTATCCATCCCCCAAAGTTAGTGGAGTGACCTTATTGTTTCTTTCATGTCACCTGCACATGGACACTCCTTGCTTCCCACAAGATCTGCATGTGGTATCTTACACTGACCATGAGAGACATAATAGTGGATCTGTTTTGGCACTAATTCACCTGCCTTTCTCCAAAGCAACTAAACACTAACTCTAATAAAGTTCTCATTTACTAAAAGGGTCTAGATAATTGTTCCAAGCTACAAAGTTGGGAGGAATAACAGGTGTTGTAGCTACAAAGTTAGGAGGTTGACCAGGTTGAGGTGTGAGCTTGTCTGTCCAGACCTTGGGGATGCCCCTCCCAGGATTTGAAGAAAGTGAAAATTAAACTGTCTTCATCAGTAAATTTTATTTACCTTTTCTCTATTTCTTGGTTCTTTTCTCACTTATCCTCTTTTACTACTATCCCCAACCTTTCCCTTTTCCATGAGGGTCTGTTATCTCTCTCCACAAAACTCAGCAGGCTCAGTTCTCAGCAATCTTTTCTGCATCTTGCCTATCCCCAGCCTCCACAGCTTCCAGAAGTGAATTGGAGTTACCTTCTACAGAGTAAGGGGACTTAATCTGGACTCCATACTCCCTAAGTAGCTTCTGGGAGTCCTAGAGTGGAAAGTGAGCAGACAAATACAGAGGGTCTTACACTCTGGAATGCAGTGTGTTCATTCCTATGGCACCTAAAATCAAACATTTTTCAGCACCAGAAGAATTACTTCTGAAAACCCCATATAGTCCAGATGTTAAATCCATATTCTTTATTACCACAAAAAATGCCTCTACTACTTGCAAGCTTATTTGCTAAGAGCATTTGCCCACTTCACACCCTCAACTTTATTACAAAGCATCCTATATTCACTGAGAGTTCTACTATATTCATTGATTAAGGTGACACTTTGCTCTCTACTTAATGTTTCCAACTTTCCTTCACTAGGGGCAGAAGCAGCAATAGATTTAAAGTATTTCCAGGAGAATTTCAAAGGGGAGGGCCAAAACAGCCTTTAGGCCCATCCCAAGGTCATTATGTTGAGGGTGATGGCTTCTTGATCTACTTTCCTCAGGATCTTCTGGGATACTCAGGGGTGCAGAGAGATGTTTATGGTTTGCCCAGATGTCCAGGACTAGAATGGGGGAAGGAAACATCCCAGCTTCCAGGAAGGGTCTCTTCCTAGAACAAGTCATCTCTAGCCTCTCTCTATCTGGGGAAGGCTCCTTCTAGGTCTGATGGAGGAGGCTTATGGCTGGTCTAAATACAGATCTATTTTCAGCGACCTTAGTGGTCTCATTTAAATATGGTCTCATTTAATCCTTATGGCAACTATTTGGCAATGGAGTTATTAATCACATTTCACACAGGAAAAGTTAGGGGCTCATTTAAAGCAAATAATCAAGGTTACCTAGATTGTGAGTATTCTTCACTTATCCTCCACCCCTATTCAGGTGATCTCAGAGTACTCAACTCTCTGAACTCCTATCTCATAGCATTCAGTTCAAACAGAGTGTTCTTGGGAGTGGTACAGGTTGGGGAGGGGTTGGAAGCAAGGATATGGAATGAGCTGATACTAACATGTGAATGAGTGTTACTCCCTGTGCTCTGCTTAAGACCCCTGTGTGGGTACAATTGCAATATTTCCAGAATCTCTCTCCTCGCTTTAGTGCATCTCCATATCAGTAGGTTTTTCCAAGGGGTGGAGAGAAGTAGTCCACCTCCATATTAATAGGTAATTACATGGACAAGTGAGGGCTTATCTGGACTGGAGAGGTTGGGTGGAGCTCTCTCTTCTGCAGTCAGGTCTGGAGAGATGCAGGATGATTGCTTGTAAGAAATAAATGGGTTTCTCCCACTTTATTTCTCCCTTTGACTGATTTCGGTTTCAAAGGTATTTTGTCAAAGGATTTTTCCCCCTGGAGTCACATCTGGTGGTAGCAGGAACTCTGAACACAAAATCTGTCTATATAGGTGCGACCCTTGGGTGAGCTGCCTCTAGGGATGGTGGGGAGGGCCCAGTAGCTGCAGCAGTAGAGAGTGCAGCTTCACTCAGGAACCCCCTATATGTGAGGCTTCCAATTGGGGAGCCCCTAGTGGGGAATTGGTCTAGGGTAAAGTACCTCCTAGAGGGGTGGGGCTTTCCCCAGAATTAGGGAAGGGTGGAGACACTGCAAGTTGCAGAATTATCCCTCTGTCAGATAGAAGACTGCTTAGAGGCCTGAATGGCAGTGTAGCACCTGGGATTGTAGGATCTCTTTTCATCAAGGTAGAGGAAAGTGTTATTGGGGAGAGAGAGAGGGTTACTGAGGAAAGGGAGAGACTTCGGTGGGAGAGAGACACACTTCAGCATCACTTGGAGGAGGTGGGCGATGACCTGTGGGATGCCTTTAAGGAAGAGATATTGAGAAGACAGGTTGTACTCCTGGAAGATTCCTTAGGAGCAGCGGCGGTGGAGGCAGCAGGAGAATCTGCATTGCAGGAGGTCGTGGGGGAGGGGGAGGAAAGACTGGTGCCTTCAGCCCTGGAGATGGTAGAGGAGATGTCAGGAGAGGATGAGGAGGTGTGGCCGAGGGATGATCTATTGCTGAGGCCACTGCCCAATCTACCAGCCTCTCCTGTATTAAAGGCCCACCCAGTTGTAATAAAGAAAGTAAAACCGCAACAAGTGCGGGCTCCTCAGGAAGGAGCCGCCCCCTTCCCAGGTTGTGGAGCACCCTATCCTCCACCCCTATACCTGGATGAACTGGTGGACATGGGCGTCCAGTATTGGCAGAAGCCATCAGAACTTCTGCCTACATGGCTTTTGCATCTCTCTGATATACAGATGGAAAACACTTTATGTCAGGTTCTGAAATGAGTAGACTGGCTTCCCTGATGACTCACCCTTCTCTCTGGCAGTGGTTGCAAAGTGCCCATCACACTTCAGGGAATCAGGCACTTCTGGATTGGCTAACAGCAGTTTGCCCTAATCAGGGTGATTTACCATACTTACCCACTAGGTGGAAAATGTATGCAGAGTTCCAGCAGGTGTTATGGGAGCTGGGCATGAAAAATATCATCTATAACATGTACCCTCAGGGCCCCGATGAGGAATTGTTCACTGTAAGAATGAGAAATCTGGTGCCCCATACAGCTTCCCTCTCTGGTTCCCTAGTGACTATTCTTGCCCCCACATAGGGAAATTCATAAGTGATGCTACTCATACTTTAGCAGATCTGGGGGAGGTTGAAACAATAAAAGCCCAGAAGGAAGGAAGGGGTATGACTGAACAGAGATGTGCAAAGGGCCCATGAAGGTCTCGAGGACCCAGGTGTGGGTTGATTTGGTAAAGGCCAGGGTAATGAAAGAAAAACTTGATGGGCAGCCCAATAGGATCTTGTTAGAACTGTGGCATCAATTAAAGCCAGAGCAGCAATTCCAGCCAATGAGGTCCAGGACACGGAAGCTGGAGGCAAAGCCCCATGTCCAGCCTCTGTCCCTGCAAGACTTCCTGGGGGAAGTACTCAGGCTCTGCCTGGGCCATCTTCCCCACAGAATGATGATTGGGCATTGCACTTTGAAGGGAGGGTCAAGGCCCCCACCCTCGGGGATGTGGTGGGGACCAGAGGTGACATGTAGAATTAGCAATTCATTGGTCCCCTGTGAATGTACAACATCTGGTGCTGGTGGACACAGGAGCTGAATGTTCTCTGATTTATGGCAACCTTGAGTGTTTTCCCAGGACCCCTGCTGTGATAAATGGCTATGGGGGTAAGGCACTTAGAGTGAGGAAAGCCCAAATCCCATTGGGGATAGGGCATTTACCCCCAAAAGGAGTATACTGTGTACATTTCTCCCATCTCTGAATATATTTTAGGGGTAGATATACTGCAGGGCCTATGGTTACAGACCACTGCAAGTGAGTTCAGACTGAGGGTATGTGTGGTAAAGGCAGTTGTGAGGGGACATGCTGAGCACCTACCTGTAGCTCTACCTGTGTCTAGGTGGGTGACAAATACTAAGCAGTGTGAATTGCCTGGGAGGCACAAGGAAATTGGAGAAACTCTACAGGAGTTGGAGAAAGTGGGCATCATAAAGCCCACTTATAGTCTTTTTAATTCCCCAGTGTGGCCAGTGAAAAAGCCAGACAGCTCCTGGCATATGACTGGACTACAGGGAATTGAATAAAGTCACACCCCTTTGCATGTTGCTGTCCCCTCTATAGCAGCCCTTATGGACACACAAAGTCGCGAACTAGGGATGTGTCATTATGTTGTGACCTTGTTAATGCTTTCTTCTCTAATGACATAGCACAGGAAAGTCAGGAACAGCTTGCCTTCACATGGGAAGACCGGCAGTGGACATGCACTGTACTTACACAGGGATACCTCCACAAACAGTGTGGTTGTACAACTACATAGATAATATGCTCACATCTGATACTCTTGCAGATTTAGAAGGAGCAGTTCCTAGACTGCTGCAAAATCTACAGGAGAAAGGATGGGCTCTGAACAGC